TTATATTTTTTAACAAATTATGAAATAACTAAATTATTTTAGTTATTTGCTTCGATGAACCACTGTGTTCGATGGGAAACATTTATAACCAATTGATTCCACAATTGGTGGTATAGTTACACTTCTCAAACTACTGCATTTATCAAAACATTCATTACCAATATATTTCACACTTGATGGTAACGTAAGACTGCTTAAACTACTGCATTCATAGAAACAACCATCACCAATTATTATGACACTTGATGGTATTGTTACACTCTTCAAACTACTGCATCCTCTAAAACAACCATTGCCAATTGTTGTCACAATAGATGGTATCGTAACACTGTTTAAACTTATGCATTTACTGAAACAATAATTACCAATTGATGTCACAACAAATGGTATTGTAACACTGCTCAAATTATTGCATCCATAGAAACAACCATTACCAAATGATGTCACACTGAATGGTATTGTAACATTACTTAAACTACTACATTCATAGAAACAACCATCATTAAGTGTTTTAACACTAGATGGTATTGTAACACTCTTCAAACTACTGCATCCTCTAAAGCAATAATCACCAATTGATATAACACTAGATGGTATTGTCACACTGCTTAGACTTATACATCCAAAGAAACAATAATCACCAAGTATTGTAACACTCGATGGTATTGTAATATCGCTTAAACTACTGCATCCTCTGAAACAACCATCACCATATATTATTACACTCGATGGTATGTTAACACTCTTCAAACTAATGCATTCATAGAAACAATAATTACCAATTAATGTCACGCTAGATGGTATTGTAACACTTCTTAAATTACAACATCTATCAAAACAATTATCACCAATCGATTTAACACCTAATGGTATGTTATTACCAAATATATTTCCATCATTTTCAGTGTAAGTAATAATTTTAAACTCGATGTTTCGACTTTTGTTTCTACAAACAGTTTTAAAGTCAACACAATACCACACAATGATTTTATAAAACGTTTTCTTCAAAACAGTTTTATTTTTATTTTCTCCATTTTCTCTTTTGTTGATCATAAATCCATTGCCAAAGTTCTCATCCTTTTTATCCCACAAGTGAAGTGTCTCGATGTTTGGAAAGTATTCAAGTGTTTTGGAATTCAGCGAAATCGGGTTGAAGTGGAACTTTTCCATATTACCACCAAACTTCTTGCATACTAACTCCAAGTTAATAAAGTCTTTGATAATCTCGAAGTATTTCGAGACTATCATAATGTGATAATT